AGCGAGGCCGAGGCAAGCCCCAGCCCCTCCGGGGGGTTGCTCAGCACTGGGGTTTGTGGCTGGCGGGTGGCTGCTGGAGGGATCACTTGTCCCTTTCCCTGCAGGGAGCTCAGACAGGCTGGGCAGGACCCTTCTGCAGGTGACCACCAGCGGCAGTGCCTGGGGGGCCACATGGTGCTCGGCCACCGAGCTGGCGAGGCTCCTCCTCTACCCCTGTTCCCTCCCCAGGGCAGAGCCAGGAGGAGCTGCCAGGACCCCCCAGCTGCTTCCCAGCTCAGAGGTCCCAGGCAGCCCCCAGGCCAAGCCAGGATGGATGCCCAGCATCCCACACGTGCTGGTTTGGGCACATCCTGTGCGGTTCCCACGTGTCCACTGTCCCCCCTGCAGCCAGCCCTGAGGACACTGTGTGGTGCCTCTGCTGAGGGCACGCGTTACTGAAGGTCTGGAGCATCTCATGGGGACGAGGCCATCGCCTGCAGCTGCCAGTTCCTGCCTGCCCTCAGCCTGCTGCCCAGGGGCACGAAGCTGCGGGAGGGGGCTTCAAGAAGGAGGGACCCCCACTTCACCCCCCTGGCGAGGCGAGAGGCGAAGGACGGCGGGCTCACTGTCGTGGTGGATGCCAGGAAGCAGCCTCCTGCTCCTGTCCTGTTCTCGGCCCTCCGCTCTGTCCAGGTACGCCGGGCTCCGCGTGCCTCTGCCATGGAGGTGCCGGGAGGGCAGCTCCCTGCTCAGGAGCGAGCGCTGCCACATTTTGGGGATCCTTCAGAGCCTCCCCTGCGCCCACCGCGCAGTGTGATCCCCCGGCTAGCAGCACCTTCTCCAGCAGCCCCTGGTGCTGCCATGCCCAAGGCCACAGGTTTTATCTCACTTGCACACTTTACCCATAAAGATCGTGGTGCAGATTTACCGAGACAGCTCTCAGCTGCCTGCGGCTGCACCGCAACGCACTGATCTAGAAAACCCACGTCTCTCTCGCTGCTTCCTCCCCAGCAGCCAGTCCTGGCTCCTGACTCCCTGTAGGTCTGGCAGCCCTAAAACTGCCACTTTGTTCCCAGAGTTGCTGATAAATCTCTAATTTCTGAGCACGCCTGCAGAGGTGCAGACCGTCCCCCAACAGGGCACAAAGACCCCGTTTACCCCAGCCCCGAACTGAGCTCACACCCAGCACTTGCGTCTCTCCTGCTCCTCAAATGCCAGCCACGAGGCACCGACAGTTTGGGACCAAAGGTCCCTTCGCAGCCCCACAGGATCTGTCCTTGTCCTCAGCGCCGCTGTTACCAGGCACCATGGCATGCCCCCAACCCCTTCAGCATCCCGCTAGCTGAGCTCACCTGGAAATCAGCTCCGCAGTGACGGTCAAATCATCCTGGCAGGGTTTCCATGCCAGTGCTGCGGCAGTGCCATGGGAGTGCCCTGTGCTGTCCTGGGGGCCGTGAGGTCCTTCTCCACCACGGTGCCCTGTGCCTCTGTCTGCTCAGCGATTGGTTGCAGCCTGTCCGATAAATCCTGTGCTAAACCCAATGCTTCCTGCACGGAGAAGCATCACTGGTGCGAGCGAAGGGTTTGCTCGTGAGGGTCCGTCCGAGAGTCCGTTCTGCCAAGGGAGCTGGTGGATGGGGACAGGGTTATGACCTGAGCGACCTGTTTCCATTTCCCACACCAGCGAGCTCAGGAGCCTTTTCCCTTATAATGAGCTCAGTGGCTTCAGCTGACTCGGGCAACAGAGCCCTGGCATCACCGTGGGTAACCCGAGGCTGTGCCGTGGGGTTTGCTGCAGTGACTCTTCCCTGCCTCCCGCAGAGCGTCTCGCCGGGCTGCATCCACACCATGCTGCTGCTGGCCGAGAAGGAGCTGGTCGCCCACCGCGAGAGATTGCCTGGGGTGCAGGTGAGCCCGTCCCTTGTGTCCCTGCGTAGTCTCCCGTGGGAAGAGCAGAGCCAAGGTGAAAAGACCCTTCCTTCTCAGGGGACCCTCCATCCCCTCACATGGAGACCCCAGTTCCCCCACTTGGGGACCCCGGGCAGAGCAGCACCTCGCTGGGGCGCATCCCTGCTGCACCGGGTGCAGGATGAGGCCCTTGGGTTTGCTGGGTTGCGCAGGCGGGTGAAAGCTGCCCCAGGGCAGCCAGGTGTTTTCCCAGTTACCAGTGCCAGTGGCTGGACACAGGCACTGGGATAATGAATCTAAACCTGAAAGGGTTTATTGTTCTTTTGGTGCTGCTCAGTTTAATTAATATAATGTGAAATATTAATGAGCTTCATCACCTAGCTTGGCTGTCGTGGCAGATTATTGCAGTCCTGGCAATCTCCCATGCATTCAAACACGGCGTGGAGCCGCCAGGAGATGCTCTGAGCGGAGCTGCCGCATGGCGTGCTCAGCCCTGCCGGCATGCAGCACTCCCGGGCCTGCCATGTCACGCAGGTTAACGGGACAGGATGGCTTCAGGCCAGGAGGGGGTTACGCCTCCTGCTCCAGGCTGCCCCTGGGGATGCTTTTGGGGTGGGACCTGGCATGGTCCCGTGGCACTCACGATCCCTGTGCCCCACAGGTGGAGACCCTGGCGTCGCTGAAGGCTCTGGGCCGCTATGTCGACAGCTCCCAGCTGACACAGGAGCTGGACGGCACCTTCCCCTACTGCCACAGCGAGTGGGTTCAATTCTTCCAGGTGTCTGTTATCACGCCATTTGCCATCGCCTCACCTCCCCGCGGTGCCCCTCCGTCCCCACCGCAGCTTCCGTGTCTCACGGACATCCCCAGAACAGCGACGGGAAAGCCCAGGAGAGGGGAAGGAAAAGGAGAGCTCTGCTGCTCCTGCCTGTAACTGCCCGTCCACCTCCTCGCTCCCTGCCTCCTCAGCTTTAACCCGGTGCCCCGCGATATTCCCTGCTCTCACCTGGCACCGCTCATCCTCCTCCTCCTCCTCCTCCTCCTCACGGGCAGGCTGCCCTCCCAGCCCGGCCTCACTGACCCGCTCTGTGTCCCACCCGCAGAAACTGCATCCCTTCACGGCCGGCCTCAGGCGAGCATCAGACCTGCTGCGGAGCTGCATCCAGGAGCTGCGGAGCGCCGACGCGCTGGCGGGGACGCAGGTAACGCACAGGTTGTAGGGCTTTCCAAAGAGCCTGTCTGCAGTCCAGCACACAGCATCATTTCACACCAGTTGCCCAAAGCCTCAGTGCAAACACTCCCAGACCGGCCGCTGTGGCCGTGGGGCTGTCCCCTGTCCCCTGTGCTCATCCCTCGGGGTGCAGCCCTATGTGCTGTCCCGGGAGCTGCTGGTGAGGCCCCAGGTGTCTGACCCTCCCTCCGCAGGATGCGGCCGCATGCATCGAGAGGCACCAGGAGCTGATGCGGAGGGTGCTGAGTGACCCACAGCTGGTACATGTGCAGCGCGAGGGGGGCGTCGTGCTGGCCAGGCTGCGCAGGGAGGCCGCCCGGCTCGGCGCCTCGGCCAACGTCAGGTAGGAGGGGGCGGTTTTGCTGGGAGAGGGATGCCAAGGCTGGGGACCTCCAGCCTCCTCCGCTGGCCAACAGAGCCACCTCCCCAGGGACAGCCCGGTATCCGTGAGCACAAACATCTTTCCGGCACACCCCGGAGCTGGTGCCATGCTCCCTCCTGTCCTGCAGACTCCCTCCGAGTCTGGAGCTCATATTTCGGAGCATTTCCCGGCTGGGGACGGTGCACATATCCCTGAGAGGGTCTCCTGCCCCAGGGCCAGGCTCCGGGGCTGCTCCGCAAGGCCTGCAGCAAGCCCTCAGGCTCGTCTCAGGCAAAGCCACTAGATGGGGCCAAGCCCCGGCGATGCCGCACTGGTCCGGCGATGCCGCACTGGTCCAGCGATGCCGCACTCGTCCGGTGATGCCGCACTCGTCCGATGGTCTGTGCATGTTGACAGCAGTAATCTCAGTGCTCCCCTCTCTCGGCTGGGGCCAGCCATATTGACAGCCAACGTTTTCCCGTCCCGTGTTCGCTGAGGTCCAGCTTGCTCCATGGGACGGAGAAGGTGCTGGAGTGCTCTGCTGCAGCATGCAGGCCATGCGTGCAGGGTATGGAGCCCGCTGCCCAGCGTGCCCCGGAGAGTGCCCTCGTGTCCCAGGTGGGCTCCGAGGATGCACAAGGCAGATTGGGGGAGGTCTCTTGGTCGGTTCCTGACCTGGGCATGTGCCGGGCTCTCGCCAGTCGCACATGCTGGGTCATTGCCCTGCCGCTCCTTCGGCTCCCGGCTGCCAGCATGGCCCGTTTCCAGAGAGCTGCCCCATCCAGAGGCTCCTGCCCGCCAGAGAGCTGTCTCAGCTGGTGTCTACAGGAGGAGCCAGCAGCTTGCCCGTGGCAGCACCCAGCATTGATGGTCCCTCTCCTCCCCAACCACCAGGACCAGCATGGAGTCGGCCGAGGGGCTGTACAGCCAGCTAGAGGAAGAGCTTCATGACCTGGTGTCCCAATCCAACAGCTGCCTGGAGCACCTGGAGTTCCTCCGAAAAGCCCAGGAGCTTGAGGCCAAGTTCAGCGAGGTGAGTTGGGCGTTCCTGGGGTGCTGCAAGTTGAAGTTGTCCTCTGCAGCGTTCCCATGGCTGAGCGTTTTGGGCACATTTCCTTGGTTTTTGATGATGAAGGAAGCCCAGAGAATAACAGGATTGCCTGAGCTTTGATTTTCGTTACGGGACGACTGTGTAACCACGCCTGGGATGGGATGCCCTGGTTGGGGAAGGAAAGGGAGGTGCCGCGGAGGCGCCGGTGCTGGTGGCTGGTCCTGCCTGACCCTCAGCCCTGCTCTCTCTTGCAGCTGGGGTGCTGGCTGGACGGGGAGGCAGCGGTGCGACTGCAGGAGATGGGGAACGAGGAGTGGAGCCCCGACAGCTTCCAGGGCTCTGCCGAGCAGTTTAACAAGTTCCTCGTCCAGGCAACAGTATGTTTGGAGGGGGCTTTTCCGTAACACTCGTCCCTAGGGTATCGCTGCTGGCAGTGCTGTTAGGTTGCTCCAGCCCCTGCCTGGCACTTGGCAGAAACCGAAAATCCCAAATTAGAAATGATTGAACATCATTGCAGAGTTTGATACAATCAGCCCAAATTCCTCAGGTTTGGAACAAGGCTTCTGGGCAGAACTGGGTGTCCCCAGGCTGGCTGGGTCAAGCTGCAGTTTTCAAGCCCAGCTTTGCTGGTGTTTTGGGGCAGCCCTGCTTTTGGAGGGGGTGGGGGGGGGATGGTTGCGCTGCTCCTTGGTGTGCTTTGGGCTGGGACTGCTGTTCCCAACCCTTCCTGTGCTCCGTCCTTCGCAGCCCCCTTCCTCCTGCAGCACCAGGCTGCAGAGCCTGGACGTCCATCAGACAACAAATAATGTGGTGACAAGGATTTGTTCCTCCCATACCTCTAGATATAGAGGCTCCTGCACTGCACAGAGGGCAAGGTGACTGCATTCGGGACAGGATGATGCATTTTGTGCATTTTGAGCCGAGCCAGGACAGAGTAGAGATCTGGAGAATCCCCATTTTCTCTGTTTCTTCTCCCTTGCCCAGAAACGTTTCCCATGTAGCTTTGATAGCGATGCTGAGCGCTGACCTGCAGAGAGCTTCACCCTGCACACACGTCCCAGTGCAGCAAGTCAGTGCCATTCCCCGAGCATGGAGCTTGTTCCTTCCTGCCATCCCTGCAGGCCCAGTACCGGCACGGCCTGACCCTGTGTCAGGAGGCGGCTGAGGTCCGAGATGTGGCGTTCCCCGAGGCAGACCCCTTCCAGGAGGCTGCAGCCCTTTTCCGGACGAAGCTGATGAGCTTCTACAGGCAGGTGGAGCGGCGGCAGGCTGAGCAGGAGCTGCTGCGGGAGCTTGGCCGGTTCTCCAGCAAGGTGGGTGCGTGGGCTGTCTTCTCGCAGGACCCGGTGCTGGTGGGGCAGCCGTGAAAACAGCCGCTCTTGCCTTCTTCTCTAGATCACGGGGCTGAAGCTGGACTGCAGGCAGTGCTCAGCCCGGGTGAAGCGCGGGGAGGGCCAGGCGCTGCAATGCCTGCAGAGCTCCTTCCAGAAGCTGTCGGTGGAGTTCGCCCTGGAGAAGCTGCAGGAGATGAAGGCTCAGGTGCACAGGATGCAGAGCAGCCAAGGGCTGGCAGCCTGGACCAAGGCACGGCACAGGTACCAGGAGATCCGGCAGGTCCTGGAGGAGATGCTGGCAGAGCTGCAGGAGGCTTGGGGAGCACAAGCTGATGGGCAGGGTGACGCCTTCGGTTCCCCCAGCTCGGCACCCGCAGCCTCTTGCAAGGATGCCCCAGTCTGCAAAGCAGCCGCCAGCCCCGAGCCAGCGGTGTCGGGGAGCCGGGGGGTGGCGGAGCAGCCAGAGCCCAGCGCCCAGGGACCAGGACAGCCCTGGCTCCCAGGACAGCCCCAAGCTGGCAGCATTCCTGGCTCTGCACTGGGTGCAGAGAAGAGCTCCCCGCAGCCCCGCTGCCAGCAGGGGCCGGAGGGCGACCGTGCCTTTCACCACCACATCTCTCCTCACATTCCCCTCCCAAAACCCGAGAGCGGAGCCTGCCTGGGAGCTGCAGGACACCTCGCCCAGGAGCGCAGCCAGCCCTTTCAGAGGCATCCCTTCACCCTGCCTCCCCGGGAGCGTTTTTCAGGTGCTGACCCATTGTGTCCCACCACTGAGCCCCACAGGACTGTCTCAGCACCCGGCACTCACGGTCCACCTGCGGATAAGCGAGCAGAAGCCACCCAGTACTTCCAGGTTTCCAGCCAGAGCAGTTTCTCCTCTGAAGACTCAGACTCGCAGAACTCCACCGAAGAAGCCCCAGCAGCGAGCCTGGCTTTGCCCCGGGACCTCCAGAGTCCCAGACCACCTTGCCCCTCTGAAAAGCCCTCCCAGATTGTTTACCTGGAGAACCACCACACTGAGAGTCCAGCTAAAGCAAATGCCAAGTGAAACCAGTCCCTTCCAGTTGGGGCTGTTTCTGTCCAGTTGTGGAAGTCTCGATCACCGACTGGATGAGACATCCTGTGCTTGGAGGTGGGAGGCTGGGACTCGTTGCCCAACCCTCAGTCCCAGAGTCCTTCAGTTCCCCATACTTAGCACTCACCCCGCTGTGGAACAGCAGTAACCCCATCACCAGCCTCATGAGGTTCGTTAATAATCTACTAGATGTGTAGCAATCTTCACGTAAAGTGCATTTACCCTTCTCAGTGCCAAGTTTGCCTCTGGACATCAGTGGGGGTTCCCTGGCGTCAGCAGCCGTGCTTGGAGCATCCCATGGGAGCCCAAACCTATGCCGAGCTGTTTCTGCCCACCAGCCGCACTGTGCTCCCTGCTCTGCTGGGTGATTTTACCGTCCCCTGTGCTGCTGCTGCAGCCCTGGCCGAGAGGCGGCGACAGGCATTTTGTTTGTCCGCACTCATTAACGTGGGACTAACATTATTGATGGTAATAAACCTGAAGAGAAGCGCCTACTGTGGTCCTCATGGAACAGAACAAAAAGCCGTGTCCTGCCGAGAGCCGGGTACAGGGTGCTCACCGGTGGTCCCCACTGCTGCCCCAGCCCAATGCCAACGGGCAGCCGGTGCCACCATGAGAGCTTCCCGTGCCACCTGCACGGGCTGTGGCCACAGCCTGGCTCTCCTGCCCACTGCCAGCATCTTGCTGCCGGTAGGATGGTCCTGCTCAAACCACTCTTGACTTTTCCCCATTGTGCCCTGCCCTGTTGGCCCCCACTGCCAGGCTGCAGCCATTTGCAGAATGAGTCCCTCTCCCTTTTTTGGGGGGGTTAAAAGAAATGCTTCTGTCTCCACTTCTCACTCCCATCCTATTCCCTCCCCGGTACATGGGCAAGGGTGGCGTCATGCTTCCCAGCCTCCCCACTCGTTGGGAACGCGCTGTCCCAATGCCTTGGGGATCCAGCTGAGCTGGGTGCGACCTTGCTGGATCACCATTCAAAACAGCCCGGGGTCCCCAGGGATCCCATTCCCACCGGCGCGTCCCGCTGAGCCACACCGCCTGTTTGGGCACCCGGGAGCGGGCAAAGCCAGGCGGGGGACGGGCTGTCCCGGCCAGGGTGCTGCGCCGCCCGCCACCCCAGGCAGCCACATCATGAGCTAATCAAGAGACATTGTAGAAAAAGCACTATCTCACGTAGGAGCCGTTCCAGAAAAACACTCTCCTCCTCCCAGCCACGGCGCAGTCATGGCCCGCGATGCTGCGCCTCAGCAAAGGGCAATTGCCCATCCCAGTGTTTGTGAGCATCACTCATACCCCCCTCAGCTTTGTTTTTGCCAAATCCCCAAGCCAAGCCCCGCTGAGCTCCTCTCTGGAGGCTGCAGTCCCGGCCACCCCCCACGGCACCACATTCCTCCTGCCCAAGTCATTAACAGCAGTGTTAATGAAGACCAACACCAGCCTGCTCCCCGGGCGCTGCCCTGGGACCTCCTGTCTGTTGCTTCTCCCAGTCCTACCCATTGTCCACTCTTTACTTCTCTTCACAGTTCTTTGAAGCTTCATCTTCTCCAGCTCAGACACTAATTTCCCTAGAAGCACTTCTACCACTGCTTCGCTTAAATCCCGGTAGCTGAGCCTATCCCGTTCCTTTTGGCTTAGAAGTAATTATCGTAGAGAGGCACCGAGGGAAGTCTGCATGATCCACCCTGGGTGAACCAAGCCACCTTTGCCCCATTCTCCAATCACTGCCACATCCTGAATGTCACCAAGGTCACCCCAGCCAGGATACTTTTCCTATCTCTTCGTGTTACGGTATTTACCCGTGCCCAACCGTCTGGCTCTGTGCTGAGTTTAAAGGGTTCCAGAAATCCCCTTGCTGTGGAACTGATGTAGTGCATAAATCCAGAGAAGGAGCAGACAGATGTCCCCACGAGCCACCCAGCGCTGTCTGTCCCTGCACCGGCCAGCTGAGCGTGCCTGCTCCCCGGCCCTGCACACACAGATGGCAAAAGCCAGCTCATCCTGAGAGCCAAAAATCTCATCGACCTCCAAAAGCATTTAAAGCCCGACCTGACAGTTCCCTCACGCAATTTTCTGCTCTACCGAGAGCTGATTTGTTGTATCACCCCCCTTACACACTCGCCTCTGCAGCGCACTGAAGCAGCAGCGTGCCTTCCAAATTCCTCTTTGGATGCGGATTTTTGCCTGTCATTTCACAAAAGCCCGTGGCTTCGGAAGTCCTCATTATCAGCCGGTGGCCACGTGCGGCTGAGCTCAGCCTCCTGCGACCAGCACAGCACACACATCCCACCCTGGGCTTGTGCCGGTGCTTTGACGGGCTGGACACGCCGTCAACGTTACTCATCTCCCTTGAGAAAGGCAAAGAGTGCTCATCGTCGCTGCCACAGGCACGCCGGCTCCTGGGCAGGGATGCCTCTGCGGGGACCTGTGCTACGGCGAGGGATGGCCAGGACCAGCCGGGCTCTGCTGCCCAAATCTGGGGAAAGGGAAGAAAGTACCCAAACCCCAGGCACCCGCCACCATCAGCCCACCCGGCGTCGGCGGGTGCGGAGGGTCCCCTCCCCACCGCTCCTGCTTCTCACCATGTCCAGGAAAGTAGTAAATAGGCAGGTATTAAAAATGAACATCTGTGTAAATTGAACAAGAGGAAGGAAGAGGGATGAGAATATTATTACTGAAATAATATCACGTGGAAGTGTTTGGGTGATGTCATCGCTGCGTATAAACCCCTCGCTGTCACGCGGTGTCACTGGATAAGCATCTCCCGTCCGCAGATGAGGCTGCTTTTTATCGCTCTGCAATGCTCCTGGAGTCACAGCACTGCCAGGCTGTGAAGAGACAAAAATGCTAATCAATACTTTTGTCATTTTTAGGATTGATTATTCTAATTAATTCGGGAGCTGTTCAGCCTGGGTGTGAACAAATAACTGCTGGTACACGGGGTGGCAGCCGGATTGGGATCTCCTTTATCCCATCATATAATTCAGGAGATGAAATCTCTCTAGCGACCAGGAGCAAAACTTCGTGTTGATTCCAAAGTGCTTTGCTTGTTTATAGGAATAACCCCTCCAGTGCCCCAGAAGATGTGCTGTGCTTTGCTGTTCTCCTGCGCCAGCTTCAGTGGCGACACGAGGTCAGAGGCTGAAACGACCCGAATCCGGGAAGGGTAGAAGTGGCAGGGACCGAGCCTTGGGCTTGACAGCCCTATGTCGGGAAGTTGCTTCTTTATTTAACTGGGGCAAGCAACATCTATTTTAGCTCCCACATTGAAACGAAAGAGGTGCTCACCGTTTTTCTTTTGTTTTACCTGTGTTTAAAATGCCGGTTTCCTGGGAGCCCTTTGAAAAGGCACTCAAATCTGTGCTCCTGTTCTTTATCATCATCCCACATGAAGCAAAGCCAATTTCTGCCTCTCGGCATGCCCTCACCTCACCTGGAGAGATTTTGGCACCTGGGCCCCAGCTGTGCAGGGGAGCATCCCCTCACCCCCATCCCCATCGGCTGCCGGGCTCGGTGGATTCAGACCTTGCCCTGACCATCACAGCCGGGTCTCAGCTCCAGGACTGGCTGCGAAGAGCCAGAGGTAAATCCAGGAAGACCTGGATGTGGGATTTAAGAGAGAAACTCGGGCAAAGCGAATGCCTGGAGGCTGGGAAGAAAAGAGAATAGTGAAGATGAGACTAAGAGGCACCGATCCCACAGCGGGATGGATGCTCAGGGCCATGCCGAGCCCCTCTCCTGCTGCATGTCGAGATGAGGGTCTGAGGGTGGCGAGTCAGGGCTGAGGCAAACCCAGAGAGTTGGGGGCATTTCCTAATTTGCCATTTTTGAGCAGCAGCGGTGCAGTGGCGGTAACAGGGACGTCTGCAGTGCAGGCTTGAGATTCCTCATATTAACATCCTAATTCCTCAATAAAATGCTGGGGAGAATCAGGGAAGAAATAATTACTGACATGAATAATAAATGCTGCACATCTGTCAGGCCGTTCCCTGCCTGCTCTGTCTGAGCGCTTGGCCAGGACTGCTGGTGGGTCCCTGGGTGACAGGGACCACTGAGCTGGGCCAGTGCTGGCCAGTGTTTGCCTTCACTCCGGCCCATACAGTGCGGGAGCGCCCGAGGCAGTGGGATGCCCAAACCAGCCGGTGTCCCCGGGGCGGGAAGGTGCTGCCATCAGTCCGCTCTCCTCTGCCCTGGTGGGAAGAGCCTTCTTCTCCCTCCCCCATCGCTTTCCTTGGCCAGGAAAAAGTTCGGAGTTTTTAAATTGTAATTTTTAGGTTAGGGGGAGTAGCACTTCCCATGGAGAAACAGAATCATCTTCCAAAACAGATGGAATTCAGATTCTTCTGAATAAAGCAAAAAATGGCTTTCCTGTTGTTTTTTTTTTTCCAAAAGGAAAAAAAAAAAAAAAAAAGGATATTTTGCAAATCCTGAGATTAACTGATAACAGAAATGAGAATTTCCGGCCCTTCACTGGAGAGTGAATTGTTTCCTCAGAGGGCCCCTGTGCTCTCGGCTGCCCTCAGCCCCCACATCTGGGTAGGCACAGCTGGATACCTCCTACCAAAAAGTGTTTTTGCAACATTCTGCAAAAATTTTCTTATCTCCGCTGATCCTTCAGCGTGTGATTTATGACTCCAAGTCTGACCAATTAAGCTATAACCTTTCCAGAAAGGCAAGTGCAGGAGTTAATCAATGTCTCTTTCCCACCCATGAAATGGCAAAATCATTTGTCACAGGTTGGCGGGGGGTGGCCGGCGGGGCCGGGCTGGTGGGGGTCCGGCAGTGCCGGGGCACGGGGCACTGCGGCCAGCTTAGCCCATGGAGGGGACCGCCCGCAAAGCCCGGAAAAATACTTTTTTTCCAAAGGAAAAAAAGGGTAAATAAATGCTAGATGCAGAAGACGGCAAAACCAGCCTGGAGATGGAGACAGGCCGTGGGTCAGACCCAGGGGGGCATTGCCCTCCTTTTCCCCAGGG